ACTCATCATCCTCATCCTCATCATCGTTGAGGGCGCATGGTCTGAGTCACTCAGGGCGGGAGGGCCCCCCTCCCTATGGGGCCCGCAGATCATGTTGGTAATCCGAGCGGGTCATCGGAACCCTGTAACTGTCGTCACTTTTGGGCTCCCCAGGCCTGATAATGGAGGAAGTCTCAGGCGGGAGCCTCGTCTGTGAGTGAATTGGGAGGAAGTCTCAGGCGGGAGCTCCCTCCCTATGGGGCCCGCAGATTATGTTGGTAATCCGAGCGGGTCATCGGAACCCTGTAACTGTCGTCACTTTTGGGCTCCTCAAGCCTTGAAAATATGAGAAGTTCAGTCTCGGCGCCTCGGTCGTGAGTTGCGTTATGATGAAGGCTCAAGGGAGCCGGGCCCGCAGATCATATTATGTTGGTAATCGAGCGGGTCATTCGGAACCCTGTAACTGTCGTCACTTTTGGGCTCGTCAAGCCTGAATTTGGAGGAAGTCTCTGGCGTGAGCCTCGTCTTTGAGTGAATTGTGAAGAAGTCTCAGGCGGGAGCCCCCTCCCTATGGGGCCCGCAGATCATGTTGGTAATCCGAGCGGGTCATCGGAAACCTGTAACTGTCGTCAATTTTGGGCTCCTCAAGCATGAATATGGAGGAAGTCTCAGGCGGGAGCCTCGTCTGTGAGTGAACTGCGAGGAAGTTTCAGGCGGGAGCCCCCTCCCTATGGGGCCCGCAGATCATGTAGAGATTCCGAGCGGGTCATCGGAACCCTGTAACTGTCGTCACTTTTGGGCTCCTCAAGCCTGAATATGGAGGAAGTCTCAGGCGGGAGCCTCGTCTTTGAGTGAATTGTGAAGAAGTCTCAGGCGGGAGCCCCCTCCCTATGGGGCCCGCAGATCATGTTGGTAATCCGAGCGGGTCATCGGAACCCTGAAACTGTCGTCACTTTTGGGCTCCTCAAGCCTGAATATGGAGGAAGTCTCAGGCGGGAGCCTCGTCTGTGAGTGAACTGCGAGGAAGTCTCAGGCGGGAGCCCCCTCCCTATGGGGCCCGCAGATCATGTTGGTAATCCGAGCAGGTCATCCAAATCCTGTAACTGTCGTCAATGTTGGGTTCTCGCGCTGCCAGAACGCAGTTCCCAGGCCACACTTTGGATGCAACAAGGAAGTTTTGGGGCTCCTCAGGTCGCCGAGGTGCTGCGACAGGGCGCCGAAGGCGCCGACGACGACGGCCAGGCCGAGGCGCGGGCGCGGAGCTTGCTGATGTTCAGGCCCAGCGAAAGGGAGTTCACATGGAAGAGCTCGGGGGCGCACAGCGTGCGCCGCTCGGGGTTCACCCTGACGCACGCGTCCTACCTGACCTCCACGCTGTCGCAGGGCCAGACGCTGCGCAAGGGCGTCACCATCGACTGCGCGAGAGACGAGGACGCTGGCCGCACGGGCTTGTCGGACGAGCAGTGGTGGCTGCACCTCTACGTCATGTTCTCCCGCGCCACGTGCATGCGGAACATGCTGATCCTGCGGCCGCCGCCGCGAGAGTTCCTGGAGTGCCGGCCGCCGGCGTCCCTGCGGAAGGCGCTCCTGGAGTTCGACAAGAGAACGGTTTTGTCCAGGGCGGAGGCGAAGCAGCTCGCGGCAGAGCTGGGCTTCGTGCTTCCTTCCGCCTGAGCGCGGCTGCGCCTCGCTCGAAGCCCGCGGGGTTGTCCCAACGGCTTGGTCTTGCGCGCCAACGGCTCGCGGGGTTGTCCCGACAGCCTGGCCCGCGGGGTTGTCCCAACGGCTGCGCGACGTGACCTGTAGAGAACGAGCCTGTGCTGGCCGTGGCGGCGACGGCGCCGAGGAACATCGACATGCGCGCTCATGCAACAGGAAGGGGAGGAGGTGGCGGGGCGCGGAACAAACAGGGGGGCGAGGATGGGGACAACGTTAGGAGTGGAAGGTGGGCCCGCGCCAAGGCGAGAGGAAATATACGCAGAAGAGACAGCCAGGGCGCCTCACCAACCACGAGGGGACGACGGTTGATGGTTTTTCCAGGATTGCAGAGGATCTAGTGGGGTTCTTTCCGTCGGAGTAATTTGTTTTTTTGGCTATGTTTGCGTGTGTTTGACAATGTTCTTTTTCCCCGCATCCTCTTTTCCCCGCATCCAAAGTGGGGTCTTGTTTTCCTGGACACCCCGCGCAGAACAGGAACCGCACCACACACCACTTCACACTCACTCACACTCTCTCATCAATCAAACTCATCAGCATCATCGATGATGCTCTCTCCACATGCTTAGTCACTCACATACTCATCATCATCAGCACTCGCCACTCTCTCAACGCTCACGAACATCATCATCATCATCATCATCATCATCATCATCATCATCGGCATCGGCATCATCCTCATTCAAACATCATCATCGCCACCACCACTCACAATCAATAGTCATCCTCTTCAATACTCATCTTCACCACCACTCATCATCCTCATCCTCATCATCGTTGAGTAAATTGTGAGGAAGTCTCAGGCGGGAGCCCCCTCCCTATGGGGCCCGCAGATCATGTTGGTAATCCGAGCGGGTCATCGGAACCCTCTGACTGTCGTCACTTTTGGGTTCCCCAGGCCTGAAAATCGAGGAAGACTCAGGCGGGAGCCTCGTCTGTGAGTGAATTGGGAGGAAGTCTCAGGCGGGAGCTCCCTCCCTATGGGGCCCGCAGATCATGTTGGTAATCCGAGCTGGTCATCGGAACCTTGTAACTGTCGTCACTTTTGGGCTCCTCAAGCCTGAATTTGGAGGAAATCTCAGGCGGGAGCCTCGTCTGTGAGTGAATTCGGAGGAAGGTTCAAGCGGGAGCCCCCTCCCCATGGGGCCCGCAGATCATGTTGGTAATCCGAGCGGGTCATCGGAACCCTGTAACTGTCGTCACTTTTGGGCTCGTCAAGCCTGAATTTGGAGGAAGTCTATGGCGGGAGCCTCGTCTTTGAGTGAATTGTGAAGAAGTCTCAGGCGGGAGCCCCCTCCCTATGGGGCCCGCAGATCATGTTGGTAATCCGAGCGGGTCATCGGAACCCTGTAACTGTCGTCACTTTTGGGCTCCTCAAGCCTGAATATGGAGGAAGTCTCAGGCGGGAGCCTCGTCTGTGAGTGAACTGCGAGGAAGTCTAAGGCGGGAGCCCCCTCCCTATGGGGCCCGCAGATCATGTTGGTAATCCGAGCAGGTCATCCAAAACCTGTAACTGTCGTCAATGTTGGGTTCTCGCGCTGCCAGAACGCAGTTCCCAGGCCACACTTTGGATGCAACAAGGAAGTTTTTGGGCTCCTCAGGTCGCCGAGGTGCTGCGACAGGGCGCCGAAGGCGCCGACGACGACGGCCAGGCCGAGGCGCGGGCGCGGAGCCTGCTGATGTTTAGGCCCAGCGAAAGGGAGTTCACATGGCAGAGCTCGGGGGCGCACAGCGTGCGCCGCTCGGGGTTCACCCTGACGCACGCGTCCTACCTGACCTCCACGCTGTCGCAGGGCCAGACGCTGCGCAAGGGCGTCACCATCGACTGCGCGAGAGACGAGGACGCTGGCCGCACGGGCATGTCGGACGAGCAGTGGTGGCTGCACATCTACGTCATGTTCTCCCGCGCCACGTGCATGCGGAACATGCTGATCCTGCGGCCGCCGCCGCGAGAGTTCCTGGAGTGCGGGCCGCCGGCGTCCCTGCGGAAGGCGCTCCTGGAGTTCGACAAGAGAACGGTTTTGTCCAGGGCGGAGGCGAAACAGCTCGCGGCAGAGCTGGGCTTCGTGCTGCCTTCCGCCTGAGCGCGGCTGCGCCTCGCTCGAAGCCCGCGGGGTTGTCCCAACGGCTTGGTCTCGCGCGCCAACGGCTCGCGGGGTTGCCCCGACAGCCTGGCCCGCGGGGTTGTCCCAACGGCTGCGCGACGTGACCTGTAGAGAACGCGCCTGTGCTGGCCGTGGCGGCGACGGCGCCGAGGAACATCGACATGCGCGCTCATGCAACAGGACGGGGAGGAGGTGGCGGGGCGCGGAACAAACAGGGGGGCGAGGATGGGGACAACGTAAGGAGTGGAAGGGGGCCCGCGCCAAGGCGAGAGGAAATATACGCAGAAGAGACAGCCAGGACGCCTCACCAACCACGAGGACGACGGTGATGGCTTTTTCCAGATTCGCCCAGAGGATTCTTATGTGGGGTTCTTATTCTTATGTGGGGTTCTTCCGTCGGAGTAATTTTGTGTGTTGTCGGTGTTGTGTGTGTATGTTATGTTTGTCTAGCGTGTGATGTGTTGGGCGTGATTTGTGTCTCTGTGTGTGCATGTAGTTCTGAAGCCCCAGGAGGCCCCAGGCGGCCTCAGCAGGCCCAGGAGAACTCCAGGAGGCTCCGAGGCGGGGTCTGGGGTACCAAAGGTCCAGAAAGGCCCAGGAGGCCCCAGGAGGTTCCAGGAGGCCCCTAGGAGGCTCCGAGGAGGGGTCTGGGGCTCGATTTTGGGAGGATGTCTCAGGCGAAACCGCCATTCTCTGAGAATCGGGGTCAAAAATATTGAAATTACAATGTGTTTTTGAAGGTTTTATGTTAAAATGTTGAAATTCCAATGTGTTTTGGGACCCTGACGTCACGATCTGCGTGAGGGGTGCCACCGATTTTCAGAATGTCGAGGATGTCCCGAGCGAAACGGCCAGAACAATCGCGGACGACGTGCGCATTAATCGCCCCTGAGCTCTACTCCCTCCCCCATCCATATCCACCGCCTGTGGAACCGACGTCCCGGGACCCCATCAGGCGGTGGACAGGGCTATAGTTTGACCTCAGGGTGCCCGAATATGTCCATGTCCACCGTCCGCCGAGGTTCGCACAGATCGATCTCCTGGGCGGCGGTTACGTATGATTCCCCGACTCGAATTGGACCACGACGACGAAAAAGACGACGCGCAGACGACGCCCGCCGCCGGTGACGCCTAAGGTATCGGCGCCGACGACGGCGACGGAAGCGACGATGATCCCTGGCGGTGGGGATCGAACGTGGCATTGTGGTGAGGTGGCGGCGGTAGGGTTTCCAGATTCGTCTCGCCCCCAAGGCCGAACTCCCTCATGGCGATGCGCAGGGTCCTGCGCAGAGCGGTCGACACCAAGAATGTTGACGAGATAGCAAGGCCAAGTATTGACAGCAGATGGCATCCCTGTGGCTGCACCAATGCCCGAAAAGGAGTAAGGGAGGGAAGGAGATGGGATGGGCAGGCTAGGGAGGGAGGCATGAAGGGAAAGAGCTCAGCGCGAGGAGCTTCAGCAAGAGCAAGCACCAGTCAACAGACGGCGGCACAACAAACGGTACGACAGACTAAAATGATGCCAATGCGTCGCCCTCAAACAATTGACCACTGGAGCAACAGATGCGTGGCTGCGTGCGTGCGAAGCGGGAATCCGCAGGGACCAGCGGAGGCCAGGAAGCCATGGGCTAAGACCAGGGAGACCCAAGCCCACGAAAGGCAACGCAACTGGAAGCCAAGCAACAATTTGGGACCAAGTGGCCATGGTCACATCGCAGCCTTTCCGCCCAGGAGAATGTCAGCCACGCCGCCTCCGCCTCTCCGCCGACCGCGAAGCCTAACGAATCCATACGAACGACACAACAATACAGCAAGCTCCGCACTCCTCCGCAGGAATCCGTCATGCATCAGCCGAACTAAACCTAATCCCTCCTATCCTCTTTCCTAACACTGCTCCCTCCCGCGTCATCCGATAATCCTACTTAGAGGCTCCTGGTGGCGTATCGTTGTGAGGACGAGCCTGGTCCCCACGCTGTCGGGCGATGCTGCCCGCGCGGCGCGCCACGAGCACACCTCTCCCGAGGCCCGCCGCCGAGGTGCCCCGCTCGGCCCAGGCCCTCGACCTGGACGGGCTGTGCGATGCGGGGCCGGGGCTGCCAAGCTCCCGTGGGATCGGCGAGGGAGCCGCGATCCGGCCCAGACGGCCCGCTCCTCCTCCTCCTCCCTCCTCCTCCTCCTCCTCTACCCCCTCCTACTCCTCCTCCGCCTCCTCCTTCTCATCCTCCCTCCCTCCCTCCCTCCTCCCTCCCCCTTCCCTCCCCCCTCCTCCTCCTGCAACCCCCCCAGCAGCTGCTAGCACACCTGGACTAGCCAGCGCCCCAACTGCGACATCGGAGGAGAGGGGCAGCAGCAGAGCAACACACCCGATGCATCCATCCAGCCACCCCTCTATGCTCCAACCCCTCTCTATCCCTACCTCCGTCCCTCCTCCTCCTCTCCTCCTCCTCATCCTCCTTCTCCTCCTCCCTTATTGCATCCTCTCCCTCTTGTTTTTCCTCCTCCTCCGCCTCCTCCTCCTCCTCCTCCCTCATCCTTCCCACGCCTCCTCATTCCTACTCATCCTCCTCCTCCTCCTCCTCCTCCTCCTCCTCCTCCTCCTCCTCCTCAACCTCCCGTTCTGATGTGTGTGTGTGTGTACAACGCCTGTGAAGTCTGTTCCGACCTGTTCCGGGGCGCGCTGAGTGCGGAATTTGAAGCAGACTCGACGGTCTGTAGGTCCAAACAACCCCTCGAATGTCCCAAGAGGGACCAATACCCCACAAGACAAGCGCAATAATCCGTGGGGGGCGAAACTGATGCCGCCAGAAAGCTCCCAGCAAAGAGCAGGGAGAGAAGGACGATGAGGTGGATGAGAAGGATATGGAATGCCTGGTCCCCGTCTTGCAGTCGACAATCTCATCAATACTATGATCACGATGCGTCACTCGGTCGACAGCGAGATTCTTGCACCACGTTCTGCCACGATTGCGTACGTCTCAATCTACCGAAACGAGATGTCTAAGTCGGAGTTTGTCTCTCACTCACGTCAGAAGCAATAACATTCCAGTCGGCAACTCTCGAATCAGGAAGAGGGAATTCGGCGATCCACAACCGTCTGCTGCGAAGGATCGAAGTACACGCAAGCTGTGAACGTCAAGATGCCATCTGAGGCTCTCTCTGCCTTGGTACCATCTCCATGCACTTCCACCAATACCTTGCGGAAGGCAGAACAACGACATATACAATCGGGACCGCTGGGAATGGCCAACACCTTGCCTGTTTAGCTGGCATCGGCGCTTGACCCCTTCAGCCAAACAAGCAACATAAGATGATGACGACAAGGGTGATACTGATGACAATGATGTTGATGGTGACGACTATGATGATGCGGAGGATGAGCAGGAGAAAAAGGAACTTCGAAGCTGCTCCTGTGGTCCAGGAGCCGCGCGCCCTCAGCGTCCTGCGGCGTCCAGGAGGACTCGACGGCTGCGGCGTTGAACGCCTTGCGGATGGCTAGTTGGCAGCTTCGAGTGCTCCCCCGCTCGAACGCGTCCTCCAGAGGTATCTGGATGCCCCAGGGCGCAACCAGAGGCCCAAATGCATGTCAAACGTGAAACACCTGAATCCTCGAGTTTCTAAGCCTCGAGGAGAAGGGACCGACGACGACGGCAGCGACCACCATGGACAATGTCTACTCCTCCATAATTGTCCCTCGTCCTCCCTCACTCCACTCCTGCTTGCCCCCTTCCCTCCCGCTGTCAGCACTCCCCTCTCCTTCAACCTCTGTTTATCCTTCCCCGGACCAACTAGTCCCGTCTTCGTAACTGTAACTCTCCGAGACTCCCCCCTCCCCTTCCTCCGTCCCTTCACCCCCTCCTGTCTACGCCTCTCCTCCACCTCCTCCTCCTTTATTACGTGAAAAACTAACATAGGGTGAGAGCCTGTTGCGTTCTTGAACTAATGCGGCAGAGAAACGCAACAGTCCTACTCGGGGCACAGGAGTACCTGGCGTGCGCCGCAGGATCAGCTGTAGGAAAAAGGCGGCGGCAAGTGTAATTTACCCTGTGACGTACCCAACCCATTTGTACCATGGGAAACGAGGAGTTGGCCGAAACTTGCATGGACAATCACATTGCAGGATCCGTTGTTTGATATGTAAGCTACTTGGGGCACGCGCCTATGGCATGATGCGCAGGAGAACAATACAAGAACGAGGGGCGACAACTACAGGCTCGAAGAGGAGATGGGGAGTCGGGAACGAAGAGCAAGAGAAAGACATGCGGGACGCCCACTGTGCTGTGCCCCTCAGCAGCCCTCGAAAGTGGCGACAGTTTCACAGATCACAGCCCCCCCAGGGATGGCGAGGTCTAATTTGAGTCTGCGGTGAGTGCCCACTGTGCTGCGCCCCTCAGCAGCCCTCGAAAGTGGCAACAGTTTCACAGATCGCAGCCCCCCAGGGATGGCAAGGTCTAATCTGAGTCTGCGGTGAGTACCCACTGTGTTGTGCCCCTCAGCAGCCCTCGAAAGTGGCGACAGTTTCACAGATCGCAGCCCCCCAAGGATGGCAAGGTCTAATCTGAGTCTGCGGTGGGTACCCACTGTGCTGCGCCCCTCAGCAGCCCTCGAAAGTGGCAACAGTTTCGCAGATCGCAGCCCCCCAGGGATGGCAAGGTCTAATCTGAGTCTGCGGTGAGTACCCCTGTGTTGTGCCCCTCAGCAGCCCTCGAAAGTGGCGACAGTGTGATCGCAGCCCCCAAGGATGGCAAGGTCTAATCTGAGTCTGCGGTGGCTGACCCCACTGTGCTGTGCCCCTCAGCCCAGCCCTCGAAAGTGGCGACAGTTTCACAGATCGCAGCCCCCCAGGGATGGCAAGGTCTAATCTGAGTCTGCGGTGGGTACCCACTGTGCTGTGCCCCTCAGCAGCCTCGAAAGTGGCGACAGTTTCACAGATCGCAGCCCCCCAGGGATGGCGAGGTCTAATTTGAGTCTGCGGTGAGTACCCACTGTGCTGTGCCCTCAGCAGCCCTCGAAAGTGGCGACAGTTTCACAGATCGCAGCCCCCCAGGGATGGCGAGGTCTAATCTGAGTATGCGGTGAGTAACCACTCTGCTGTGCCCCACCAGCAGCCCTCGAAAGTGGCGACAGTTCGCAGATCGCAGCCCCCCAGGGACGGCGAGGTCCCCGCTCAGATCCGCAGCGGTGCCTCACTCTGCAGGACCCACTAGCCAGCCCTCGAAAGTGGCGACAAGTTTCGCAGATCGCAGCCCCCCAGGGGCGGCGAGGTCCCGCTCAGGTCCGCGCGGTGCCTCACCCCGCAGGACCCACCAGCAGAAATTGGCGACCGAGATCGCTCCTCGGTCCGACCACAGTCCCACCCTCCGAAGTGGCGACCCACTTTCGCAGATCGCAGCCCCCCAGGACGGCGAGGTCCCGATCCGCGCGAGCAGCCCTCGAAAGTGGCGACAGTTTCGCAGATCGCAGCCCCCCAGGGACGGCGAGGTCCCGTTTGGGTCCGCGGTGAGTACCCTCTCTGCTGGCCTCCCCAGCAGCCCTCGAAAGTGGCGACAGTTTCGCAGATCGCAGCCCCCCAGGGACGGCGAGGTCCCGTTTGGGTCCGCGGTGGGTACCCTCTCTGCTGGCCTCCCCAGCAGCCCTCGAAAGTGGCGACAGTTTCACAGATCGCAGCCCCCAGGGACGGCGAGGTCCCGTTGGAGGTGGCTGGCCTCCGAGCAGCCCTCGAAATGGGCGACAGTTTCGCAGATCGCAGCCCCCCAGGGACGGCGAGGTCCCGTTTGGGTCCGCGGTGGGTACCCTCTCTGCTGGCCTCCCCAGCAGCCCTCGAAAGTGGCGTCAAGTTCACAGATCGCAGCCCCCCAGGGACGGCGAGGTCCCGTTTGGATCCGAGGTGAGTACCCTCTCTGCTGGCCTCCCCAGCAGCCCTCGAAAGTGGCGACAAGTTCGCAGATCGCAGCCCCCCAGGGGCGGCGAGGTCCCGCTCAGGTCCGCGGTGAGTACCCTCTCTGCTGGCCTCCCCAGCAGCCCTCGAAAGTGGCGACAGTTTCACAAATCGCAGCCCCCCAGGGACGGCGAGGTCCCGTTTGGATCCGCGGTGAGTACCCTCTCTGCTGGCCTCCCCAGCAGCCCTCGAAAATGGCGACAGTTTCGCAGATCTCAGCCCCCCAGGGGCGGCGAGGTCCCGTTTGGAACCGCGGTGAGTACCCTCTCTGTTGGCCTCCCCAGCGGCCCTCGAAAGTGGCGCAAGTTTCGCAGATCGCAGCCCCCCAGGGATGGCGAGGTCAAAGGCAGGGGGGAAGAGAGGGATGGGAAGGAAGGAAGGAAGGTTCGCGCGAGCAGTGCTCTATTCAAAACGAGAACCCAACGCAGGAGGGTTGGGAAAAAGGGTAGGCGCCCGCCAAGTACAAGAGGTCAACGCATCTTAGTAATAAGAGTTTCCCCGGTACCGAAATGTAGCAAGAACCTCCTTCCCATACTGCATCCTTCGATTCTCTGGTACGGGCTTCCTCGGGTAGAAATGCAAGTGCAAGCAAGTGCGCAGTACAAGTACGCCACAGACACGTGAATTTCCGTAGTCCGAGGCTGGCAAGGTCGGTAGAGGCTGGCCTCCGCTGTGCTGTGAGAGGCTGCTTGCCAACTGCTGCCAGTATGTGGGAAAGAAACGCGGAGGCAGCCGCAAATCGTGACGCGTAGCCAATGACATGCTACAAGACCCACCTCCACCACAGAGCCCTCATAATCCGCTGAGCCTGTCGGCCTGTGAAATGCGTTGTTCGTCGTGGTTGTTGTCCTCGTGCGCACTCGTCTTATTCTTTTCTGTGTCCGTCGCCGCTCCCCCCGCCTCTTTCCCTGGGCCCTCGTCCTCAAGCGCGCCAGCCAAAGCGAAATTAACACAACGTTGTCAATAAGTCGAAGGGAAGCCCCCTTCCCTTTGATCCCTTTCCCGCCGAGAGGGGGAGGGTCCCATGGGGGGTCCCGGGTCAAAAAAAACAGCCCACGGTGTGCGGCTTTTACAGAAGGGCCTCAAACGCGCCAGCTGAAGCGAAATGAAGCATCCCAGCCAAAGCGGAATCAACATCGTTGTCATTGAGTCGAAGGGAAGCCCCTTCCCTTTGATCCCTTCGCCGCCGGGGGGGGAGGGTCCCGTGGGGGAAGTCCCGGGGGGGTGTCCTGGGTCAAAATACCATCCCCCGTTTGCGGCTTTTACAGAAGGGCCCTCTGTAGATGCGCTGGAGGAGGAGGCGCCTCGCCACGACGGATCTGCAAGAGCGTTTCTAGACGGCCCAAGCCCCACAACTCAGCCCAAGAACACCTAAGGACGGCCAAGGGGGGCCCTCAAACGGGTCAAAAGAAGCCCCACAAGGACTCTCAAGAAGGCCCAGAGAGGGCATATTCATTGATTTTCGGAAAGGTTTGGTTCCCGCCCTCTCCCTCCCATTTCCGTCGAGAGCCGAGGCATCCAGAAAGGGTTGCCCCTACTCGCTTCCTCTCGCTGCTCCCCCACTCCTCCTCCTCCTCCTCCTCCTCCTCCTCCTCCTCCTCCTCCTCTGCTCCTCTGCTCCTCTGCTCCTCCTCCTCCTTCTCCTCCTCCTCCTCCTCCTCCTCCTCCTCCTCCTCCTCCTCCTCCTCCTCCTCCTCCTCCCCCCCCTCCTCCTGCGCATTCCTCTCGCTGCTCCCCCACTCCTCCTCCTCCCCCTCCTCCTCCTCCTCCTGAACCTTTTCCTCATCCTTCCCCCCCTTCGCCTCCCTCATCCGCCTCCCCTATTGTTCCTTTTCCCCCCCCTCCTACTCCTCCTCCGCCTACTACCCCCCCCCTGCTCGTTTTCATCTTCGTCGTATTCAGGGTCGGCGGCACCGGCCGTAAGGCCTTCGGAGTACTCACTGGTAACAGCTGCTGGGGCGAGTAAGATTCAGAAGGGATGGCAAAGATAAGAAAACTGGTATTGCCAACGGCTGCGAGCAGTATGGGTATAAAAAAGTAGTGTGCGTCACCAAAAGAAGAAGCTAGTCCTTATCCTGTCGGACTAGGTATCGAGTTCGGGCGTGAGGCAATGTCTTTGCTGATTCAGAGGTTGGTCAGGTCAGTAGAGGCTGACCTCCGCACTTTGCTGTGAGTCTTACAGGTCAAACATTGACAGGATCAGATTGAGAACCTCCTTCCCGTACCCCATCCCACGATGCTACAATACCCACTTTCACCAGAGAGTCTCCAGAATATTCACTGGCAACAGCTGCTGGAGCGAGTAAGCTGTAGAAAGGATGACAAAGATGAGGAGACTGGTTTTGTCAGCGGTTGCGAGTCGTATGGATTTTGTTAGAACACGAAAGACGCGGAGTTGGTCACCAAAGGAAGAAGTAGTCCTCACTCTGTAGGACTAGGTATGTCTTTGCTGTGTCAGAGCCCTAGAGGTCAAACAGTGAGGCCAAAGTAGAGGTGAGGCTGGGAAACATAAGTCTGTATAAGACGAGTGTTGGTTTGGTGGCAAT